AGGCTCACGATCCTTACATAATCTATCACCAAATAGATTTTCGTATTAACACCGTGTCAGGTACTAACACGCTCGTGTTACAGTTAAAGTACGCCTAACAATAAATGTGACAGCCTGCTTCAAAACTAACACCATACTATGATTTCGAGAGAAGTGCATAGACAACGGATAAGACATGACTAATTATAATACTGATGGGTCACTTGGAGAAATTCAGTATAAAGCGAGGGATTCGTTATCAATCCCCGATATGCACATCCTAAATAACACCGCACTCGTCCACAGTCTGCGCTTAGTTTTGTACGGACTTGTCCTTTGTCACGACAGTAGTAACTTCCGAAAGCACAATCAACTCGACAGTTATTCGTGCACTTTGCGCCTAGTGAACTAATCATACGCTTACAAATTTGACCTGCTAGATAGAAGCTGCCCTGATAGGAAACTTCGACGCATAATAGTAGTCACTGTGCGCCTAAAAAATGCATTGGATCACGCCAAAAAGCGCGCTCTGGAAGCCTGAGGTTTAGCGATTTTTCGTTGCCAAAGTGGTTGGCCTGGGGCAGCTGTCTCACGGGTGGAAAGGAGGGCATAGGCCGAGAAGGCAGGACGTGCCTGGGCTTACGAAATGCGGGAGTAACTTGAGAGGGTGGGAGTGATGGTGTGGTTGATTTGTCGAACTATGAAAGGTTACATAGCCCAAAGACCGGCAAACTGTGGAGGCGCATGACTACCTCCTCTCCACCCCGCTAGGTTTTTCTGTGCCGCTGGGCACTGTGCGCATCGGCTTTGCTATCGGGGTGGGGAAATGTGAGCACCCTGATAGCAAAAAGTAGGCACTACGGAGCAACGCATTAGAACTGCAGAGTTGAACTGCTCTGGCACTTTGCTTGACACGGCAGCTTTCTTACACGTTTCACCGTTCCGCGACGATAGCGACTTGGGGAAACTGATGCCGGCAAAATATTATCAAGGCAGACCGAGATATCAAATAAAATGCCATGCATTAATGCATGCAGAAATTTCTGCATAAATGGAAAGGCCCACATACAATTCTTGGGAAATTTAATAAGAATAAGGCAAAAAGTTAAGTCAAGGTTTAAACAGAACAGAACGTACGCAATTACTGTCTGGTCAAATTCGATTAACGTTAGTCCAATAAAGCATACAACAAGCCGAAACGCGAACACCCCAGCTTAAACCACAAAAGGTTGGGCGCGCAACGCCTACTATTTTATACCGCAATACCACTACCAATCAGAAGGAAGTATTTGATTAATTCAAACGGAAAGTTACTACGAGTTGATATGTGTATTTTTTAATAAAATTGTTGATTGAATTCAGCTATTTTAGAGATTATCTTAGTATATTTAATAACTCAATTTCTCCAAACTCAATTCCACCGATGGCGACCGGGAAACTGATTTTCCGATATAGGCGTGTAACCTACAGGCGGCTTTCTATTAACAATCCCGAAGATTTTAGATTCAGTTTTATTTTTCGTGTCTCGTAGTCCCGCTTTGAGAAGGCATTGCCTCCACCTCAGCTTTAGACTACGTCTCTTCTCATCTGTGACCGTGAGACGATTACTCAGG